GTTTTATATAAACAAGCAGGGCAGGGCCCATTCTTCTCCCTATGTCAGGAAGCCCTCCAGCTGTGGGAGCTCTGCATAGCCCACGCCATTCACCTGGAGGCGACACACCACTCAGATTCACAGAACAAGCTGGCGGACTACCTCAGCAGATCCTTCCGCAACCACAAGTGGTCCATCCGGATGGATGTCATTCACGCCATTTTCCAGAGGTGGGGAACTCCCATATCGACCTCTTCACCACTCGGGGCAACAAGAAGTGCCCGCGGTTCTGCTCCTTTCAAAACCACAGCCAGGGCTCCCTTGCAGATGCATTTCTCCTCCCCTGGTTGGATCATCTGCTGTACGCGTTCCCACCATTTCCACTTGTGCACAAGGTCCTGCTCAAAATCCAGAGGGACAAGGTGACAGTTATAATGGTGGCCGGGCATGGCCCCACCAGCATTGGTACACCACGCTCCTGGAACTTTCGGTGGATGCCCTGATCACATTGCTGCTACTTCCGGACCTGATCACCCAGGACCACGGTCACCTTCGTCACCCAGACCTCCAGTCTCTTTACCTCATGGCGTGGAAGCTTCATGGTTAAACCCCATGGAGCTCATGTGCTTGGAGTCAGTTAGGAAAGTCCTACTTGGTAGTAGGAAGCCCTCCACTAGGACCACCTATCTGGCCAAATGAAAAAGGTTTGCAATCTGGTGCTCCCAGGACCGAACTCCACCATTGCAGGCCCCCATTCGTCTCATCCTGGAGTACCTGTTACACCTTAAGCAGCAAGGTCTGGTAGCTTCTTCCATCAAGGTGCACTTGGCAGCTCTCTCTGCATTCCACCCGGGAGTGGCCAAGCGCTCCATTTTCAACAACACCATGGTTGGCTGCTTCCTCAAAGGTCTAGAGCGGCTGTACCCACAGGTTTGGCAGCTGATCCCTGCGTTGGGACCTCAACCTGGTTCTTTCCAAACTGATGGGGCCCCCATTTAAACCGCTGGCAACTTGTTCGCTTCTGTTCCTATCATGGAAGGTTGCCTTTCTAGTCACCATCTAGTTGCCTTTCTAGTCACCACTTCGGCAAGGAGTGAGGGCCTTCGGAACTTAAGGCTCTCACCGCCAACTCTCCCTACGTGGTTTTCTTTAAGGACAAGGTGCAGATTAGACCTCACCCAGCTTTCCTTCCAAAGGTTGTGTCCCAATTTCACTCCAACCAGATTTTCCTGCCTATTTTTTACCCTAAACCTCATGCGAGCAGCTGGGAACAGACTCACTCACTGGACGTTCAACAGGCGCTCGCCTTTTACATCGAGCACACGAAGCTGTTCTGAAAGTCGAACCAGCTGTTTGTGGCGGTGGCAGACTGCATGGAAGGTCTTCCGGTCTTGTCACAGAGGATCTCATCGAGGATCACCTCCTGCATCCGCACCTGCTAAGAATTGGCCAACGTTCCAGCCCTGGCACCCACGGCGCATTCCACAAGGGTGCAGGCCTCCTCGATGGTGTTCCTGGCCCAGGTGCCAATTCAAGAGATCTGCAGGGCGGCAACGTTGTCCTCGATGCACGCTTTCGCCGCTCACTATGCCATTACCCAGCACACTAGAGATGACGCAGTTTTCGGCAGAGCAGAACTCCACTCTGTGATTCCATAACTCCGACCCCACTTCTGAGGTAAGGCTTGGGAGTCACCTAACTGGAATCAAAATGAGCAAGTACTCGAAGAAAAAAATGTTACTTGTACCAAGAACTGTTGCTCTTTGAGATGTGTTGCTCATGTCCATTCCAGACCCACCTGCCTTCCCCTCTGTCAGAGTAGCTGGCAGAAAGGAACTGAGGAGGCACCGGGTCAGCAGGGTCATATATTGAGCACCACGGTGGTGCCACTCCCGCGGGCTCCACAGCCAACCCGATGGATGCTGCTAGGGGAAAACTTTCCGATGATTCTGCACGCAGTACACGCACACCTAACTGGGATCAACATGAGCAACACATCTCAAAGAACAACAGTTACGAGAAAATGAGTAACTTTTTTTCTCCAGACTGCCCTTAATGAGAATAGCTGGGTGATGATGGTGGTTTGAAGATGAAACGTGGTCATCTAAAGACAATCACTACTCAGACCATCTCTGTACTTACCCTGTGAAAACAGACCTTGTACTGCAGCTAAAGTCATTAGTGCCCAATCCATCAAGCCCCAGGCATGCGTTTAGCATCAACCTGAAGGGATGATGAGTTGAGACTCAACTTTTCTTTTCAGAGTAACAGCCGTGTTAGTCTGTATCCGCAAAAAGAGAACAGGAGTACTTGTGGCACCTTAGAGACTAACAAATTT